AAGGAGAGAGTGTCCAGGAGAAGATCAGACATAAGCAGAGTTGATGATCAACACGGTAAAAAGTTGTAGAAAGGTCAAAGAATATTATATTCATATGTCACAGTTTACTCTGCTGTTTCCTTTCTGTTAGCATATAGGTTGTCTAAAAGGAGTTTTTTGTTGTTAGTGTATGTGTGGTTTTGGTTTTTTTTTTTTAATGTGTGTGTGTTTCTTGCAGAGACTAAATGCTTCTCCTAGGCTTCCATTTTATCCCCTGCAACTAAGTGCGCTAGTGTGTTGGTGGACCATACAGCATTGCAGCTAAGACTGATGGTTCATGTAAGGTCCATGCAGCCTTCCAATAAACAGAAATTTCTCTGGGATTCTGACACTCCTTGATTGTGTTTCATGTGACTTTCAGGTAACCGGGTCCTAGTAAAATGGCTGCAGGGCTTTTCAATTCTAATGCTAAAATTTTGGGTGCTACTGATTTGGAGCTACATTGTTGGTAGAGCTGTGAACTGGTCCAATCATTCTGGAAAGCAATTTAGAATTATGGTGAAAAAGTGACTAACATATCCACACCCTTTGACTCAGAGATGCCACTGCTGGGGATATGCCCCAAGGAGGTCAATAATAAAAAGAAAGGTCCCATATACACCAAAATATTTTGTTCTTTATATGATGGCAAAGAATTTGAAACAAAGTATATAACCATAGTTTGGTGATTGATCTAATAAATTATAGTTTATTAATGTTACAGAATATCATTGTATCATAAAAAATGACAAGTATGAAGAATTCAGAGAACCATGAGAAGACTTTTGAGAAATGACATAAAGTAAAACAAAACAAAGCAAAAATCTGATACACAGTAAAGAGAACCAGGAAAACAGAGTACACAATGACTGCCACAATAAACTAAACTACGATTAAAACAATAAGACTAAATTGACCACTGTGTAATTATAAGGGCCAAGCTTGACCCAAGAGAAGTTAAGAACTTGTCCCAAACATTCCATATGCTGTCAGAGGGCTGATGTCTTGGTTGATTTTACTGTATTGTTCTCTTTCTCATTCTTCCTGAGTCTCTTTTATAAGGGATGGCTCTCTGGGGAGAGGAGAGAAATATGTTCATTTATGAAGGTGATATAGAAACAATACCTATAAACTAAGAAAAAAATAAAAATCTTAGGGCTAAAAGGGGCCAAAGGTAGTGAGTTCTCTATCACTGTGGGTATGCCAACAGAGATTGAATGATGAATTGCTTGAGATGTTGTAGAAGGAGTTCCTTACAAATACAGATTGGACTAAATCATAAGCAATTAAGTGCCTCCTATAGTCCAGGTCCTGGTTCTGGGTTCTGGAGATATAAATATAATAGTGAGATAGTTTTTACCTTCAAGAAATTTAAATTCTCAGGGATCCCTTCCAACTCTGAAATTCTGAGGCTATTGTTGAGTTTAGTTTCCAACATTTTACAGATCACAGAACCATGGGATATAGAGCTGGAAATAACTTTAGATTTTCTCTAGTCTAGCCCACTCACCTTACAGCAAAAAGAACTGAGGACCAAATAAGTAAAAAGCCTTGCCAAAAGTAATATAGATTAGTGTCAGAGTCTGAAACATAGACTGATATACATAGAAGAGACTTTGGAGAGGATTTAAACCAACTCATTTTATAGAGGAGGAAACTGAGGCAGCTAGGTGGCACAGTGGATAGAGTGCTGGGCTTGGAGTCAGGAAGCCCTGAGTTCAAATGTGACTTCAGCTGTGTGACTCTGAGCAAGTTGTTTAACAAAACTCTGTTTGCCTCAGTTTCCTCAACTGTGAAATGAGGATAATAAAAGCATCCACCTCCCAGAGCTGTGAGCACTGAATGAGATAATATCTGAAAAAACATTTGGCACAGTGCCTGGCACATACAAGGCTCTTAATAAATGATGATTCCCTTTCCATCCCCCTTTCCCAATCCACTCACCACCATGGCTCTCCCTCAGTCCAGTTAGTGCCTTCTACACAACAGTAATAACTCTCAGACAGACACTGGTTGGGAAACCTTTTCTCCTCATCTAAATCTAAATAGATGTGTGGGTGAGGGTAGGGTAGAGGCATCAGAGCTGGATTCAGTGAGCCTTGAGTGACAGCAGCATTTGCATCTATTGCTGACAGGCCAAGAATCAGTCATACTGCATGCTGGCTTACACAAGGGTAGCATTGCCCCCATGGAAAACTTCCTGCAGAAGCAGAGGGGGAGGAGGCCACAGTTGCGGGGAGGAAAAGTGGCTGGCAGTGGTTTGGGAGACTCTAAACTAGTTATTTGGAAGATATGCTACTGTTCAGATTCCCACCAGCACCTCCTCCCCCAGGTCCCTGCACAGAGTTGGAACAGCCTTCCAGACACTGTCCCCAGACTACCCACAAGATCTAATGTTTCAATTCATTCTATCCCTGCCCCCACCCCCACTCCCTTTTGCTGAAAGCCTTTCTCCGCTCCTAAATTTCCCTACATGCTCTAACTCCAATCCCCAAGCATGCTACTCCTGTAGAATCTTGCCTTGCTTAGAACCTAGTGATTCCTGCCCCAACATGCAAGGATCCAGGCCAGCCATAGGCCTCCTGTGTAGGGTTTTGTGTTGTGTGAATCTTATCACAGCCCCTGATTATGAGTTGCTAGGGGAATTGAAGACCTTCTGTAGAGGGAGGATTCTCCCACCTCTTCTTCCCTCAATACTGGCAAGCACTCTTGACTGTCTTCCAACTCCCATCAAAAACTCAGAACTCTTGACAGACACTCCCCAGTTGGGCAGTTAGTCTTCTAGATGGCCTCATTCCCTGGGTGGCCACACCCTGCCTGCCCTGGGGGAGGTGCTGAAAAGGAACTGACTAATTAGCAAGAGGAGAGCAAGAAAGATGAGGGGCTTCAAACCACAAGCCAACAGTCAAGTACTATATCCACCACCTTGCTCTGCCAGGGAAAACTAAGGAAAACTAGGGGAAGGCTATGTTCGAAATTATTTCTAGGCAGGAACAGTAGGAATGAACAAGTAAAGAATGTTGATGGAAAATTTTCCAGGCAAGTTTGAAAAGCCAGAGTGCCTATTGGCCTCTGCTGTTGCCTACAGATAGGTTGGCTTGTGTTGTGATCCAGCCTGCTGCTTCAGGCTGAGGGGCCAAGCTAAAGCTGGGAAGTTCCTGAGACACAGAATTTCAGGAGATACACCTGGTGCCCTTCCTCCCTCTCAGCCCATCCCACTTCTCTTCCCTTCCTGACTCTGCCCCCTGAGGGTGATTGTTCTTCGGAACAGCCCAAGTGCACAAACAAGGAGCCATTCTTCCAGTCTGTGAATGATGCTCCCAGCTCAGGTAATTATTCTCTGCCCTCCAGAAGCTTACACTCTACTGAGAATACGAAGTGACTTTTCAACAGTATGTTTTGTGTCCATAATCTCTTTTGATCTTCATAACCCTCTGAGGTAAGTCCTCCAGCTATTATCTTCATGTTACAGATGAGGAAACTGAGGCTCAGGGGGTTGATGTGATTGGCCCATAATCACACAGTTAAGAAATGTCAGAGAAAGAATCAAACCCAGGTATTCCTGACTCCAGGTTAAATCCTCTAAAAACTACACCACGCTGCCTAACATGAGGGCATGTTCTTGGAATTGCTTTTCCAACAGCAGCTATGGATTTATCCTGAGAAGTATTTACTCTCTTGGCTCCCTCTTGTAATGAATGTCTTAGATTCATGGAATAGTGGAACTGAAAAGGACCTTAAGACATGGAATTTTAGAGCTAGAAAGGATCTTCATAACACTTTAGAGCTAGAGATCATAGGATCATGGGATTTAGAAATGGAATTAACCTCAACTAATCCACCCTCCCTCCATGTTACAAAAAAGAGGAACTAAGGTAGTTTACTGTTGAAAGAGCTGAATTTGGTATCAGAGAACCTGGGTTCAAATCCCACCTTATATACTTGCCAACTGTGTGACTGCGGGCAAATCACTCAGTCTCCTTGAGCCACAGTTTCCTCATGTGTAATATGAGGGTTGAAATGGTTTGGAAAAGTGACTAATCTGCCATCTTTATGATCACATGACCCTAAACTCCATATCTGTAAAATGGAAGGAATGAATTTAGACGGCCCATGAGATTCTTTCCAACCGTGGGTCTATGATGCTATTATCCTATGATTATAGAAAAGGCAAGATCTGGAGTCAGTCAATAAACATCTAATAAGTGCCTTCTAAGTACCAGGCACTATGCTAAGCACTGGGGATATGGGGGGAAGGCAAAAGATAATCTCTGCCTTCAAAGAACTCACAATCAAACAAACAAATATGTACAGAGAAGCTATACATGGGAAAAATAGGAAATTATCTTAAAAGGAAAGGAACTAGGATTAAGAGGGTTTGGGGAAAACTTCCTTTAGAAGACAGGATTTTAGTTTGGACTTAAAGGAAGCTGGGAAAGCCAGTGGGCAAAGATGAGGACAAAGAGCATTCCAGTCATGGAGTACAGCCAGAGAAAAGACTTAAATTTAAATCTGGCCTCAGACACTATTAGCTGTGTGACACCAGGCAAGTAATTTAATCTCTACTTGCCTCAGTTTCCTCCTCAGTAAAATGGGGATAATAACAGCACCTACAGGGTTGCTGTGAGGATCAAATGAGATAATATTTGTAAAGTGCTTAGCACAGTGTCTGACACATAGTAGGCACTTATTAAATGCCTGTTCCTTCCCTCCCTTCCTCCTTCCCCCCCCCACTATAAGGCTCAGGGAATAGAGTGATTTGCCCATAGTTATATAGTTTATTAAAGGTAGAATAGGAACTAGGGTCTCTGTCTCTTCCATGGATGTCTAGAGTTAGGGGGTAGAGTCTGTGGCCAGAGAACAGTGTAGAGCTAACTGGTCCAGTGTGGGGATCCAACTCATTAGCATGGCACCCTACCCAGTTGAGGTAAGCAACAGCAGCTATACACAGCTCTGATGATGTCATTTCTTTTCCTGTGCAGCTCTGCTCTTGGATATCATGACTGTGGCTGGAATGCAGAAGCTCATCAAACGACGAGGCCCTTATGACATGAGCCCAGGCCTCCTAGACTACCTCACCATGGACATCTATGCCTTCCCAGCTGGCCATGCCAGTCGAGCTGCCATGATATCCAAGTTCTTCCTCAACCACCTTGTGCTGGCCGTCCCCTTGAGGATCCTTTTGGTGCTCTGGGCCTTCTGTGTGGGCTTGTCAAGGGTTATGATTGGGCGGCATCACATCACTGATGTGGTCTCTGGCTTCGTTATTGGCTACTTCCAATTCAAACTGGTGGAGCTGGTCTGGATGTCCTCTAACACCTGCCAGATGTTGATATCCATCTGGTGAACAGCACTGTTGCACCTTGACCTTTTCAAGAGAGATGAAGAATAGAAAACAACCCTTCAGTGAAAAGGAGTTGGAGCCCTTCTGCCTTGAATATATTATTAGATCCCCGTTTTATTTCCCTGTCATGTTTGGTGGCCAGTATCCACAGGTTATCCCAGCCATAATCTGGGGGCAGAGGTTCTTGAGAAATACCAATTTCCCCACCTTTCCCCAAAATACCTAGAGTTACTTTGGCTTTCCCTCATCATCTCAAACCCAGTGGAGTTTCAACATGTCAGAATCAATATTGCTAAGCTCCTGCTTATAGAGATGTCAGAGCAAAAGTCAAGCAGAAAAGTAGGTGGTTTCTGGTATTCACCTTTTGTTGTTACTGTGGTCAAGTTTTTGGCAGGTGCCTGTAAATCTCAGGCCCCAATCCTCCAAGAAAGGTCCCATCATCCTCTTTTGATGTGTGGGCCTGACCATCAGCACTCACCATAGATGGATACTCAAGCCAGCACTGGAGCTCAGGCATTTGGCGAGCCAGCTAGAGAAGCTCTTTTCTGCAAGCCCAGTCTCCAGCTGGCTTTTCCTGGGGCGCTCCTGCATCCTGGCATTTGAGAAGGCCAGTGCTAGCCCACCCTGCTGTACTCAGAAAGTTAGACTAGACAAAGCACTGGCCAGCGTCCAGTAGTATCCAGCGCTGCTTTGGCCCCCAGGGGCCGGATTCTGTGTGACCTAATAGGTCTTTTCCAAGTCAAACTTGTATAATTCTGTATTTCATGTGACAATATATACAATATGCAAATGAGCCATTTGGGGTGTTTTTTTCCCTACCGAAAGAATCACTTTTCATGACTCAGCACTTTTGTTGCCGGCTTGTTAAAACACAGTGACTACGTGGAGAAACATAAATTGCTCTTGGAGTAGGGGCTGGAAAACTCAGGGGATTCAGGAAGGTCACTGAAGTCTTCTGTCTTCTTTAGGCTGATCATTTTCAAACCCACCTTGGTCAGGCATAGGGAATGTACTTACCGGAAGATGACTTGCCCCATGTAGTAGAACTCACAGCATTTTCAGTTCTCTGTTTCACTAACTCCCACACAGCTAGTGTCCTATGCTGGAACTCACCCCAACCCAGTGGTTGGTTCCATCAAAAGATTTGGGCCCTGAATGGTCCCAGAAAGCCTCACTTCTTTTTGTGGCCTACTGGATCTGTTGCATTACCCATGATCCACTGACTCCAGGCTAGACTTGTTTGCCTGTCCTACCCCAGACTCCCTGGATTCATAAAGGGAGGGAATCATAGTAGCAAGTGCCAGAAAGAGAACTCATTTAATCAATTTGTCCCCTATAATTGTAGAAACTTTATTTTTCAGCTTCCTACCCAGGGGTGATGTGAGACTCAAAAGAGAGAATGGGTGTAAAGCACTGTGTAAACTTCAAAGCGCTATATCAACGCCAGTTATTAATATTATTAGCCTATAGTCACCAGGCCTCCAACCTGGGAATGACTTCAGTCTCTGACCCTTCTACTGCATTCCTGCTGTAGAGCAATATAGGAGTGTGCTGGTAAATGTTTAATAAATGGGCTTTTGGGGTGGGGGGAAAAGATGCAAACACTTTAAAATTTAATCTGCATTATTAACACTTTCTTAAGCCCAGACAACCAATAAAACAATAAATCAATCCACAATTTGCATAGATTATTTCTGAGGTGTTGATACAATGAAAATTTAACAATTTTGTCTCATAAGCCAGTTAGAATTGGCTCCTACATACACCTGCACCTCTCTAAGGTATCCTTGACAAGTGGTCATTCCAGTGTCTACTTAAACACTTCCAGTAACGGGCACTCACTACCTTACAAAGTGTCCAGTTCCATGATCAGACAGTTTTTAGCTGTTAAAAAGTTCTTCCTTAGGTTAACCTGAAATTTGCCTCCCTATAATTTCCACCCACTGGTCCTAGTGCTGCCTTCTGAAGCTACACAGAATAAATAAGTCAAATCATTCTTCTACTCAACTGCCCGTCAGATATCTGAAAATAGCAATCCTGCTTCCCCTTCTCCTTCAACATTTCCTCATTTCATGGGGTTTCCAAACCCCTCCTTATGTTGGTCACCCTTCCTGAATCACTGCCAAATTTGTCAGCGTTCTTATAAACAGAACAATAATGAAATCCCCATTGGCTGCTGACCTGAAACTCCAGGACCCAGGTCATTCAGTCAAACACTGAGACAAATCAATTGACCAGGGATACTTTGGTCTCAAGTTGCTTATAAGCCCCAGATCAGTTACTTCCCCTAGCATGGAAAATCCCCTCTCTTCCCTCTGTTATCCATCTTTAAAACTGGATTGTTTGGAAGCATTATAAATACATTCTATATATGCTATGAGACGTTTCCATTTAAAGTGCCCCAGGCAGAAGAGATCTATGGCAAGGCTTCTTCCCCTTCCCACCCTTTCCATCTGGCTCTAACAAGGAATCTGTTCCTTCCATACAAATCTAAATTTTAGGTTTCCTGTTTGGGCTGCTGCATGCTGATGGTTCATCTCAGACTACCTGCTGCAGGTTGGAGCCTGTAGATGAGAACAAGAGCATTTGTATTCTGGTCCTTCGTCCCAAACCTCCAATCTCTCCTGCTCAGAGGCTCCTTGGAGGACCCTGGGAAGGAGGTGGTCTGGACAGAACAGAGGCCTTGTGGCAGCTGTTCCATGACAGGTGGTGGCCTTCAGGAATTTGAATCCTCTGACTTGTCAAACATATTTAAGAGATTTGGTGATTCCTACATAATAGCATTGCTCATGACAGTGGCCACCAGCCCTGGAGTCAGACTTCTATCCCCACTGCATCATTAACAACCTGTGTGATCTTGGATAAGGCTAGATGTCTGTTGTCAATAGACATGATTGAACTAAAAAATCTCCAAGGTCCCTTCCAGCTCCAACAATCTCTATTTTAAGGTCCCTTTGGGCTCCTATATGTTCCAGGATCCCTTTCATCTCAGACATTCTATATCACTTAATCTCTCTGGGCCTCAGTTTCCTCATCTGTGAAATGAGGAGATTGGGTTCCATGGTGTATAAGGTTCCCTTCTAGCTCTAGACCTATAATCTCATGTTTAAAGTCCTTCCAGCTTTGACATTTTGTGACTTTTCTAAGGTTCCTTCCAACTCTAACTATCTGTATTTTAAAGTTTACAGCTCCAACATTTGGTGCTCTAAGATCCTTTCCAGTTTTGACATTCTATGATTCAAAGTCAATAACATCCCTTCTAAAATATACTGATTCCACAGCATCTCTAATGAGATTGTGACAGGTGGGTGGGGGGAGGGAGGGGAGAGGAAAGGCTTGATTCATCACTGCATCAAGGGAAAATTCTTCATCTTCACCTCCTTTGGAATGACCCCTACAGATGTTTAAGCTTTTAAACCCCCTCAGGGGGGGAAATACAGGCAATAAAGTTGGGAGTGGGGGTGGGGTAGAATGAGGGAGATAAGATTGACAGGTCGTCTAGAAAAGCTACACCACTATTCCGGGAGAAAGCCCAGAAAGGAGGGGGTGAGACTGAAGTGGGCTCAGCAACAGCTGTGGAAGAGGTGTGTGATTGTGTGCATGTATGTATGCACAAATACACACTCATCTCTGTGATCAGTCTGACAGGAAGTAGTAGGGGTAGGATTGGACTGTTTCATGGGAAGATAACAGTCATAGTTACAGTATTTTAAAGCTAAAAGGGACTTTAGTGACCATCAAGTCCAGTCTCTTCATTTTACAAAGGGGAAACCAAGGCATACAGAGTAAGCATCTTGCTCAAAGTCACACAGAAAGTCAGTGATAGATCCAACCCTATAATTGAGGTCTCCTGATTCTAGCCAATGATACTTTCCACTGTACTGTGCTGTTCAACTCCTCTCAGAAGTAAAATAACAACGACAACAAAAAAAGAAACCAAAAAAAAAAACCCAACCCATAGCTATAGGCTTAACCTCTCGCATACTGCTTAAAGGGAAAATTCGAGTGTTGGTTAACTTGAGGAACAAGAGGTCATGAGTCACCAAAGGATTCCATCCCAGAATCAAAAAACTCTAATCTTCTGACCCTGAACTTTCACAGAGAGTCAAACAGCTAGTAGGGGCTTCCTGAGGTGAGTTAGGCCCCTTACTTCTAAGCTGGTGAGTGCCCAACACCACGACTTTCATTGGCATTTCTGGTGTTATACATCTCCTCACCTCAACCCTGAAAATAAAAAAAAAAAACCAAACACCCAAACCATTCCCTGGCCCTATCAAATTTCTTTAAGAGATTATTGCAAAATTCTTCCTCATCCCCCCCCAAAGAAACACCTCCCCTCAACTCCCAGACAAAATTACTCCAAATTCCTTTTCATTTTTGAAAATGAAATTGTCTTAAAAATAAAAACAGGTTCCATGACACTTTTTGGCTGTGGAAAGGAAAGTGTCACAAAAACAGATGAAAGAGCAACCGTAAGGTGTCTGTAATCTAAATATGATGGGAATCATTGGCCTAAATGAGCCAAAGTGAATGGCTGGGAATCCTATTTTGAAATATATGCCAGGAATAGAGACTCCATACTCTTCTTCAGTCTCCTGATACAGCATTTAGTCACTCTGGTGGTCAAAATGTTCACATGCATCACAGACTATCAGAGAAATCAGAACACAGAATGTCAAAGCTGGAAAGGGATCTTAGTAGAATGTTAGAACAGAGAGCAGAGAAAGCTAGCACTGGTAATGAATGACCTTAGAATATAGAACATGGAATGTCAAAGCTGAGGGACCTTAGAATACAGAGTATTAGAGATGGAAGGGAATGTTCTTAACTTGGGGTCCTCAGACTCCCCCCAGGAAAGTCCATGAACTTGGATCAGGAAAAAATACATCTTCATTTTCACTAGCCTCTCATTGAAATTTAGCATTTCTTTCAATTATTTGAAAACATTACTCTGAGAAGGGATCCACAGGCTTCATCAGACTCTCCAAAGTTACCAGTGATCTCTTAATTGTCCAGTCTAATCTTATTAATTGCTTTTTCTCAAACCTTATCCTTCTTGACCTCTTTGCAGTCTTTGACATTGTCAATTACTCTCTTCTCCTGGATATTCTCTTCCCTCTAGGTTTTCATGACATTCTTCTTACCTGATTCTCCTCCCACCTGTCTGACCATTCCGCATTCTCCTTTGCTGGATCTTCATCCAGTTTATGATCACTTTATCCATTTACTTAATCCACTAGCTGTGGGTGTCTCTGATGGCTCTGTGTTGGGTACTTTTCTCTTCTCCCTCTATACTATCTGGTGATCTCATCAGCTCCCGTGTATTCAAGTATCACTTCCACACTGATTCCCAGATCTATTTACCTAGCCTTATCCTCTCTCCTGACCTCTATCTAGTCTTATAGCTCCAAATTCCCACTGGCTATCTTAAACTTGATGTCCTATGGATATCTTAAACTCAACATGTTCAAAACTGAACTCACTATCTTTCCCCCACCAAGCCCTCCCTTCTTCCTAATTTTCTTACTAGTGTGGAGGACACCACTATCTTCCCAGTCACCCAGGCTCATAACTCCAACATCATTCTCAACTCCTTACTCTCTTTCACCACCACCACTCCCTTTTCCAATCTGTTGCCAATTCCTATCAATTCTCTATTTGTTACATCTCTACTATATGCTCCTTTCTCTCCTCTATTAGTGCCACCACCTGGGTTCAGACACCCACCACCTCACACTTGGACTATTGCTATAGCCTTCTGGTTGGTCTCTGTGCCTCTGGTCTCTCCCCTCT